AGATTCAGATTGGTAGCGGAGCCCATTGGGCTGCCGCAGGCATAGGACAGGGTTCCTTAGGTGTAGAATTTAAGGTGTTGCAGGGACAACATTGCACAGCCATAACAGTATCTGAGCCATGGCGGAGACAGAGCCTGCGGAAGCAGCGGGATCCAAGGGCGCACAGCTGCCTTCGTCGGCGCTTCCTTGGCATCAGATACCAAAATTTGAGCCTGGAGTGACGGATCTTAGGACCTACACTCGGAAGCTTGAGTTTCTCCGAGATTTGTGGCCCCCAGAGCATATCGAACACCTTGCTCCACGGGCTGCACTACAGGTCGAGGGGAGTGCCTTTCAAAAGGTAGCTCGACTGCAAGCGGAGAAACTTCGCACAGCTGACGGTGTGAAGTACTTGGTCGAATCGCTTGGAGGTCAGTGGGGAAAGTTGGCAGATGAGGATCGATATGATCTCTTTGAAAGAGCCTTGTTTTCAACACAAACAAAAATCAGATGAGTCAAATGACAGCTACCTCACCAGGCATGATGTGGCGTTTGATGATTTACTGGGAAGAGGGGTTCAGCTTGAGGAGATCAGGGCTTACATCCTACTCAGACAATCAAGTCTGTCTGCCGATGACCGAAAGAAGGTGATCATGGATGCAGGTGGGAAGCTGCAGTACGAGAGTGCCAAGAGGAGCATTCGCCTCCTGGGATCACGATTCTTTCAGGATCTTCAAGCAGGGGGTCGGAGCAATCAGCGGCAAAAGACATATGATGTCAACCATGTGGATGAAGTTGAAGAAGTTCACAACACCTGGACTTCGACGGAACCAGAACTTGATGAAGAGGCCATTCAACAGATTCTGCTGGAAGAAAATGATGAAGATGCCCATTTTGTGCAGGACTTTGAGGAGCAGATTTTACTGACTTGCCAAGACTCTCAAGAGTTATCGGCTTGTTTCAGCACATATCAAGAAGCTCGAGACCGCCTGAGAGACAAAGCCCGATCACGAGGATTCTGGCCTGTTCGAGGATCTCATACCAAAGGAAAAGGACGTGGCGGGGGAAAAAAGGGGCGATCGACTTTTGGGGCAGCGGCATCCAGTTCTGGCTACTTGCAAAAGCGCAAAAGCTTGGCAGAGAGGATTGCCAACTCAACATGCCGAAAATGTGGGCAGCCAGGACATTGGCGCCGAGAATGTCCGCTCAATGTCGATGCTTCCAAGGACAAGAACAATTTCACTGGACTGGCCGAGATTCACTCTGAGGAGATGATTGCCTTGACGGAGGACCAGGATGTTCTTGATGATCTACCCGCCGATGCCGTCTTGATCCACGAGGCGCACCAGGTAGGACTGGATCAAATTTTGAAAGAAAATTTTTATTTCTCTTCTCCAACACAAAATCGTTTTGAGGACACCGTGAGAATTGAGAAAGATGAGTCTTTGAGGGTTTGGTGTTGTTTCAACGTTGAGGATCATGAATGGAAGGGGATTCGGGGTTTTCAACAAAAACTCACCTCAAAACTTGTGCAATGCTGTAGGACACACTATGGGACCAACGCTGATGCAGCTGCAGTCCAATCGACCTTCAAAGAGCCTTCCAAATCAGCCGACGCAGGTGCTGATGCTGAAAACAGCTTCAGTTTTTCCAGTGTCGATTGCCTTTTTAACAGTGAGGAAGATGTAGGAGAGGCAATAATTGATACAGGGGCTAGCCGGGCAGTGATTGGTGAACAGAGACTTCAGGGTATGTTGGATTCTCTCCCAGAGGGTTTGCGTAAGATGACATACCGGGCCCGTACCCCTGGGGTTGTTTTCAAGTTTGGAAACTCATCCAAATTGACCAGCAGATTTGCCATCCTTCTTCCTCGCAGTGAAAAGGGCTGGCTCAGAGTCGAAGTGGTGCCAAGGCAAGCACCATTTTTGATATCAAATTCAATTTTGAGGGGTCTCAGGGGAGTAGTTGACGTAGAAGACCAAGTACTGAGATTCAAGGGCAGCCCACGGGTCATTCCATTGCATGCATGTCGTAAAAGTCTACTCAGTGTAAAGGTTTCGGAACTGTTATCATGCGCACCATCAGGAAAAATGCCAAGTGACACGGAAACCATCATGCATGTAGACAAGGTACAGGGACATGAGGGTTGCACGGAATCTCAAGAACATGATGAACATGAGGGTTGTACCACACATGAGGGTCGAGCATATCATGAATATCCCAACCACCACTTGGATGTTAATGAATGCATGCAGCAACAAAGAAAGGTGAATGTTCATGATAACAGGGAGATGGTCGGAAGTTCAACAAAACCTAATGTACACATGAAACACGAACCACATGAAACTGGGAACAATGTGCAGGTCAGATTTCAGGATCAAGAAGAAAATTTAGCGACGTCCAAGGTCAGCCATGGCATCTCAAGGTCAGAGCTCGTATCTCACGGCCGAGCTCACTCTCCCGGAGGACGAGACATTGGGGTTCAGTGCCACACATGGGAACATCGGGGAGATCAACAAGCCACCTGGAATCCATACACTGGAAGAGTGGGGACAAATCAGAGCACCATCGGGAAAATATCCAGGAAGCACCTTCGCGGAGATCTTCCAGAAGGACCAGGTGTATGTGCAACACATGTGGAATCGCAGAGGGGTATCATCCTGGGTCCGAAGTTTCCAGATGTACTGCCGAGCAGTGAGGAAATTAGAACCGAGTCCCGATTATCATCGGGGATACCAAGCACCGGTGACACCGAAGAGCATGTCAAAATCCAAGCCTCCGACAACAGTGACAGGAGAGTGGACCAAGATCGAGAAGACCGGAGAAGCCATGAAAACCAGCCCCAAGGGGGAGAACAAGCGTTCCATGCAGGAGCCCAAGAACGAGATGCAGACCGAGGCGAATCCCGAACGAGTCGAAGTTCTTCGCACACAGATCGCGATCATGCAGAGGGAGCTCGAAAAGGAACTGAACAGCTCCAATTCAGCTCAGTCGTCAGGTCCAGTGCTGGAGAACAATTAAATTCGATTGATCAAGAAGTGTATCATATTATCAATGGAAGTCCCTTGAAACGTCTCAGCATGAAACAAGAGCAGAAAATACATGAACAGATTTCTCCGAAAATGATTGATATTGAGGAAGGGTTGAGAACTGTTTCAGACACTGCTCTGTTCGCACGAGACAAAAGGGCAAAAGGGTTCAGCGGGCGCCCAGGCAGTCATGGTCCACCAGTGACTTTATTGGAAGTTTATTGCGAAGAAGGGTCTCAGCTTTCTTTACAAGTCCAAGCAAAAGGGGGTAGAGCTATTCGTTTTACCCGAAAAGATGGGGACCTTAGCACCAAAGAGGGAAAAGAGAAACTGTGGTCATGGGTAAAGTTGTATGAACCCAAACATCTATGGGTAGCACCCGAATGTCGATTGTGGGGAATGTTTTCCAGGTTCAACATGGGACGTAGCATGACATTCCTAGAGAAAATACTACATGAAAGGGAACATGACAAACAACACTTGGTTCTCTGCAATGATTTGTATTTACACCAAGTTGGAGAAGGTAAACACTTTCATCTTGAACAACCAAAAGGGTCAGAGATGATGGATCAAAGGGAATTAGATGATGCCAGACTTGGAACTCTACCAGCTATGTTTGACATGTGCCGCATGGGAAAACTCAAGCTTCCAAATCAAGAACGGTTTCTTCAGAAAAGAACCACGGGCTATACAACGAGTAGGGGACTATTCAACTGGTTGCACGAACAAACATGCACACGGGACCATGAGCATGCTCATATCAAAGGGAAGGCATGGATAAAGGGTAAATGGATGAATATATCAAGTTATGCAAAGGCATACACCTCAACTTTTGCCCGCAGGGTTGCCCAGTATCTCTGTAATTGGAGAAAGGAAAAACCCCTGGTTGTAGAAGAAATGGTTCTTGGATTGGAGGATCATGAAAAGCCCAGCATGGCACCCGAAGCACTGCAGCTGCAGAAGAAACAGCGTCTAAACGCCAAGCAACCGGAGGCCACCATGTATGGCAGAGCTCCATCGTGGGCAGAGATTTTCCGACATGCAGGGTATGAGACAGGGAGAGTTGGGGGTCATGAGTTTGGGGAAAATCATGTTGTCACCAAGTGGGCCCAAATGTTGACCCCTGAAATGACGGTCAAGCTCACGGTTGCTTGTCGTGGCACAGATAGACACCGCATCCATGGGCAAGCATTTGCAGCAGAGAGGTACCCATGGCGAAAAACCATTATGGTAGATCGTCACACTGGGGAAATCAAAGAAACTGGTCCAGCGGAAGAATGGGTAAAGTTGCCAAAGTTGAAACAAATACGAAAGACTGGACCAGCCAAAATCTCTCTCACACTTTTTGGACACAAGGATGCAATTATCTCATCGAGTGCCGGTCCCGTTCCATCATCTGAAGAGAAAACAGATGAACGAGTTCCCAAGTTCGATCCTTCTGCATCTGCAGAGAGCGAAGACTCTCTCATGCCAGAGGCTCTGGATGGGAAGGAAAATCGTCGAACCGAGGTTGATGACTCCCAATTGGAATACGAACGAGGATGGGCCCCCAAAGTTGTACCTAGGTCTGGTCCCGGGTTTTTGGCACTGGGGAGTGATGCAAGGGCGGATTTGCGTCGTCTTCACAACAATTTGGGACACCCTGACCCAAGCCGTTTTGGAAAATTCCTGAAGGAAAGGGGAGCAACCTCCGAAATCATCCAGGGAGCCCTCGATATGCAATGCGATGGATGTACGGAGATGCAATCCCAACCAAAACTGTCTCAGCCCAGTCGCATCCACGAAAATTTGGATTTCAATGATGTGATAGGCGGTGATGGGGCATATTTCTAACCTGGGAATGCGCATTCCCACGAGAAAAACGCATGTCAAGACCACATCGTTCTCATGGTCCATTTTGCAAGGGTTTTGGGAAAGCATTTTCGGCACGAGATGGCAAAGTTATCAAAGCTACCCGCTGTTATTCGACAGCCTCCGGTCAGCCTTGAAGAGGCTAAGACCATAGCGGAGGCTGTTCGAAGAGAAGAACAGCCATGGTATGACCTTGTAGAGGTCTTTGGTGCTTCAGGAAGCCTTGTTAAAGGCTTTGATGCGGTGGGTCTGGTCTCAGCTCCATCTTTCGATGTGAGAATCTCGGTAATTATGTGCTATTTGGTTTTGTTATGTAAAGTCCTTACACCTGAGATGGCTTTGTTGCACCCGAATTGACAGTGTTTATTCCCCAGCTGCCAGGAGGGTCACTAGATTTTAACAAAGGTCTACTCTTCCTCCTTCTCCTTCTCTCTCGCCACTCCTTGCTTGCTGCACTTGCTGCCATATCGCCAGCTCTGGATGCTGTGGCGTGGGCCTGGACCCGACTGCCATATGGCGAGTAGGTTGTGGAGTGCGCTTGGGCCCGATCGGCACATCGCGGGCTCAGTAGATCGCGAGGTCAGCAGGCTGTAGAGTGTGCCTCGTCCCGGCCGCCATATCGCGGCAGGAAGAGAATGCCAGAATATATGTCAGAGAGAGAATTTCAGAAAGATTGCACGATAGAATGCCAGACAAAAATCCGGGTAGAATATTTGAACAAATGTAAAATAGGACAAAAAATGCCAGAATAGAATGCCACTATGGATGACAAAAATAATTAGATGCCAGATAGAATGCCAAAAAGACTGCCAGATAGATGCCAGAATGAATGCCAGATAGTCTGTCATGACAGAGTATATGCCAGAAAGAATGCCAATAAATGCCGTATAGACTGCAGAGCACATACATATATATATATATACACAATATACTTCCGGACTTTCCAGAGTATGTGAGAAAATTATGCCAGAATAGTATGTCACGGTCGGGATTTCGGGATCACTCGAAGAAAGTAGTTCGTTCAACCCATTCAAATGAAAGGATTGTCTTCCGACATGAACATCCATCGGAAGAGCGGCCTGGTGATGGTGATTCGTGCTTTGGCCCGGACCAAGCAAGGTCCGGTGAGCGGGAAGCATGTTGGAAGAAACATATATTGAATATGTTTGAATAGTAGCCTAGACCATAGTAATTGCCCATCTCGATTACCATTGAATTTAACAGATGATTATATGTAATTAATTATTTTGTATCTAGTGCGGTACTGGTAATACTACTAATAATTCATTGTCCCCTTTCTTCTTCATATTTCTGGAATTCAAAGAATCAAAGATAAGAGAAAAAAGTAGACCATGCACTAGATCGAGAATAAACAGGTTCTCTGGCAAAACTATTGAAAACCCAGTGGTTCTGGTACATATATACATATATAAATATAAAGATATATATATATGTATATATATATGGGGAAAGGCAACCGCATAGTTGTAGCACATGTTGCTTTGTCCCCAGGTGGCCTAGCCTTTATGATGCCTACATGTGCTGGATGGATATGGTTATCCCGTGGGTCGACACTACGTGGTTTGGAAACTCGATTCAATGCTTACATGTTTTGTAAAGGTTTGGGTGTTTTGAAATGTTTTCCATATATATATATATCACAAAATATGTATGTATGTGTATATATATATGTGTGTGTGTGTGTATGTACACACCCCTCAAGATTCCTAAGGGCATTGGTGGGCCCCCCTAATTTTGTGAATGTTTTGTTTTTGGTCAATGATGGCATTGGATGATCAGGTCATCACTGGCTACTGCGGGTCAAAGGTGGTTCTCACAGGGAACGCAGTGGCAGAGATTGTTGGAACGATTCTTATCCCACTATGCGACTTCCTTGGGATTTACTTTGTCCTCGAAAACCCCTTCTCCAGCGTCATTTTCAAGTGGCCATCCATTGAACCTTGGATGGGTGATCCTCGATGCCACAGTGTGTCAGTTGACATGGCTGTTTTCGGGTGTATCTGCGCGAAGCAGCTATCGCTGAGAGGGACGTGGGGGGGGCTTCCTATGCTGAAGGCCCTTGAGGTGGCCCTGAAAAAGATGCTGCCTGAGGGCTACCTGGTTCTGGAGAAGGCTTCGCAACCAGTAGGAAGGTCAGGCCCTGGGTCTGGGAGTGCCTACGTGAAAAAACTGCATAATTGAGTTTTAGGTTCTTTATCAAATAGCTTGTCAGGAAACATAGGTTAATCAGGTGGGAAAATGACAAAGCCTAACCACAAAACTTGGACCTATCTATTCAAATATAGCCCTAATCAGAATTTCCTTTTTAGGAGCCAGTGACCCAATATTCATCACTTCAACCCTGTGTCGCCTTGGTTTGAAGATAGATACCTGTTGGCCATGTGAATACGATTGAGGGAACTGAATAACGCAAAAACTCATGAAAACAGAAAGTAATGGCTTCCATTTTGCCGTGTTGCTGCAGGTGGATCGGTGGCAATGAGTACACTACCTACAGTGCGGTTTACACAGACTGCTTTGGGCAGGCTGTAGCCTTTAGCGAGGTCATGAGGCAACAGGTCTTACCCCAGGACAAGGATGGTATCTCGAAGTGGGCTGACTACCATGCAGATATCCTTCTTGAATGTTGGCTGCCATCCCCGGAAGAGAGGAAGAAAGCTCATTGTGAAGCCATGGTTTCTTTGTTCAAATCAAATTGTTTCACTTCAATAAGGCCCCTGTGATTGTTGACACATAAGTGCTAATAGTTTTGAAATGGGTGTTCAGATCTTGGAACTTATGGGATATTCTTGTTTTGATGATGTTGGTTTGGTCTGGAAACATTCCTGATCAGGTTGTTCCTGGGAAATTACCTGCCTCTTGTGCCGAGGCTTTGTTGAAAGCATCAGGGAAAAAAAGTTTCGACGAAGATCCTGGTTGGGACGGTATTGACTTAGAACTTGCCAAGATGCCCAAGATTCCAATCAAGACCCTACGTGCTTTCCTCAAGGAAAAACGAGACTCTGGGGGGTTTTTCAACAATAGTTACGAGGAAGACGCAACAAGGCTCACGAACCTTGTGCCGAAACCGGACACAGAGAGGGCCAAAGGCCCACAAACTGCCAAGTCGATGAAGATCACTGATTTCACGCGCCGCAGGCCAGGTAGAGGGCAGCAACTTGTAGCTGTGTGTGGTGTGGATGCGTTGTCTGGGGTTCAGAAGGGGTGTGACAAGCAATTCAGCACTAGATACTTTAGGTTTAATTTTTGTGCGGAGGTACTTGAGGCAGCAAAAATCACTCCTCAGTCCGTTCTCCCAAGCACTGTGGCAGGACCAGTGCAGAAGTAAATCAACCTGCTGATGTTCTTGGCCATGCTGGGACCAACGCCAAGCGATTCAAGGTTCCAGCATGCGTGTTTTGAAGGTGGATGCAAAAACAGGTTACCAACCCAATCGGAACGAATAACTCATACGGACACTGTTACAATAGGACCCTTCGGACACTATTAGCTTGGATGAACACACCTCTGACAGCTTCAGCAAGCTGAAAAATGAATAACCATTACAGCGGAATGCACCAAACCATTAGCAGTGGACTATGAGAGCCCAAAATGTTGATTCCTGGTCCTTTTTCACTTTGGCTCTGCCCATGGCAGGCTCTGAAACCGCAAGAGCTATGCATTGACCTGGATGACTGAAGGCCAGCCTGGGACCGGTAGATTGCGCCAAGAATGCCACCCACCAGACTGAAAACAATTCCCATGAGGAAGATTTCCATCACTTGGCAATGTGCAGGGGTCATGTGCGAAGGGGTGCCCTTGTGAATGCACATACAGGAGGAAACTAATTATTTCTCACAAATATAAAGGTTCATATAGGTTCATGGCAGACTTTTGCAGGGACCACTTGGGCCTGACAAATAGGGCGGATAGGAAACATGGATAATGTGGGCTTTAATGATTGTAGATTCACATGTTGTTTGTTTCTGGGTCCAGGGATATATCTTGGGGAAGTATAGGGTATTTGATGTTTGAATTTGGGAAGCACCAGTGAAATAAATATTAATTATCACCCGTCGTACTCACTACTTGCGTGACAGGTATCTACAAGGCAGTTTCCGAGTTTCTTTGAAGGACTGTGCTCCTGGGGAATGGGGATGGGTCGTACTCTAGCTGTTGAAAGATCTTTCAACCGTCTTCAACTAAACTGAGAGAGTTGCTGGCGGAGTGCCTGGGTATTGCTTGTACGTATAGAGGGAACAAGTCGTGCCAACGCTTTCATGCAATCTTGTCAGAAGAAATTGCTTGAATGCAAAATGACTTTTTCATTCAAAGTGTCATGTTGGGAGTTGCGGTATATGTAAAACCTCTCTTGCAGTTTTTTAGCTCAAGAGCCATCGCCCATTCAACTAGGACATCTTGGGAATGTCAAGGCTTTCAGAAGCCAAGGTTCTTGATGATTGCCCTTGGGAGGCGGATTCATTTATGCATCCTCCTAAGGGGTCCGACAAGTGGTGTGGCACCTCGAGCTCCACATGGATCTACCGTTCCCATGGCAAAGCTCGAAGGAAGAGTTTCCACCCTATCCATAGATCGTTTCCTTTTGGGGATGTGGCATCCCTTACTGGCCAAAGAGTTACCATTATGTTTCCAGAGACCCAGGGGAGCAAATCTGTGGAGCGGATGATCTTCATTGACCGCTACACAGACATCCAGAGTGAAGTTGGCAAGCAGCTTTATCGCTGGAAAGGGTTTACCTTTTTCAAAGTTTCGCGCAACGCTGACGGGTCACATGTGATGCCCAATGACCATTTTGTGTTGGGTGACCCGGTTGCTTTGCACACGACTGCCAGTACAGGGCAGGCAAGTGCGGAAGAAGCTGATGAGTTCGAACTCATTGTCTAAAGGAGATGCCTGCGCATTTCAAACGTACCATAGCCTTTGCACAGTATCATATTTGCAGCATAGCGTATGTTTGCGGCTGAAGAAAGAGGTGGTTAGGTGGGGGCAGACGCTTGAAACAACCAAAATACCACTATCTGAAGAAAAACACAGTACTAGAAATAACCATGGCAGTTTTTGTTTCCAAGTGTATCTAGGGTCTATAGGGTAGCCTCACATCACATGGCGTCAAAGAGAACCCCCTTGTGTGCCTCCAGGACCCTCTACGTGGAATCCAGCTCATTGTCATTCGCGTATGCAGGAGATCTCTGGGAAAGCTCCCGTGGTTAAAGTGCTGTTAATGACATCAGATTATTTGATCTTTTGTTTGTATGGTATGCGTTTGGCAAGCCCCTGGAAAAAACAACGTTTGTTTAGTTCATGCAGACAACCTAATACACTTGCAACTTCTCATTTCTGACTGTTGAAACTTGCACATGTTAGTTCAAAGGTGAGCGTTCCTTTCAAAAATGAAGCAAGATCTACTTCTGAATCAAGAAATACAATTCAGAAGGAACAACATTGGACCAACAATGATCTTTGGGGGACTTATCATGGATTTTGTTTGTACGTTCGCCTTGGGTAATTACTTACACAACCCTGTGGGAACAAAGTCAGCTCTCTGCAGGATCCTCGCTTTCTTATCTGCTTCAGTGACGGGCGCCTGTGGGGAAGCCACCAAGCGCTGGTGAGGCTGTTGCGAGTTAGAACATAACTTTAGAAGTAGCATCAAATTCAATGTTTACTGCTCAACTGAATTCGATTGCTTAAAATCGTGCACTTGTTGGCACTGGAAAAACGGGGTACCCATCACATTTGAACAGCACACACACGAAGTCGACCAGTTTCCCTACATTACATTTCAACATTACTTCGATGGCTTGTTAACTGTGTTTGATTCTTCCAAGTGGTTCCTTGGCTCTACAGTTGGTAGCTGTACCAACATTTTATGTTGCCCATCCTGTGAAAGCTATGGGAAAATCATCGAAGAAGAACGAGAAAAAAGGCAAAAGCAGGAAAGACAAGAAAGCTAAGAAACAATCTTCTTCCTCAAGTTCATCGGCAGAAGTAGCAGAAGATCCAGAGGATCGCAAAAACACGCTAGCAGTAGCTTCTTCGTTTGGAGTGATACCTGGTTTTCCTAATTGGCCATAAGTTTTGCTTAGGGGTCTGCAACATGGTCTAGCCGGGGGTAGTTGAACATTTAGTATTAGAGAGTAGGTCGAGTCCCAAAACACACCAGCCGGGTAGCCCAAACTGAGGAAAGCCAAGGGGTTGTCCCTTGGTAAGGTTGCAACACGCATCTCGGACCTCAAGGTTTTCCAGCTGGCGATCATTTTGAGCCAGACTCACCCAGTACTGACGAGTCAGACCTTGTTTGCACTGGGTGGAGAACTACTGGAACTTCACCGTGGAGCCTTAGCATCCATGAAGCGTCAGGAAGATGGGTCAGAAACCAGTTTGACCATGAGGATCAAGGTGTCTAAGCGTATGGGATGGTCTGAGAAGAGGTGGCGTGACCGTCTACTGGAAATTCTGTCCCAAGGACAACGGGGGTCAAGAGAGATGTCACACATGCCTGCTTTTAGCGATTTTCCTTTTTCAAACCCAAAGTTGTCAAACTGGTTCAAGATAAGGATGACAAGGGTTGTTTAACGGGTTGTTTAACTGATTGCTTGTTGAGATGGAAAACCCTGCAAGTAGCTGCCATGGACAACATGTCGGTGATCTCACAGCATACTTCCTTGATTTCCTTGCGAAGGCAACTCTCCAGTCCAAAGTGTTTTATTTAAGAAGGTTTGCCCAGAAAAGCTACCAAATGGATAAGGTTCATGTGCCTTGCTATCTCCTCCTTGTCTTGGGTTGTTAATGCCTCTGTGTAACTGACACGCCCAGGTCAATCCAGGATGAGGTGGCCGCTCATGAAAAGGCCGCTGATGCTGCCAGCTGGTTGACTACTTTGAAAAACAAGCTTACCCAAGCTCGAAAGGAAGCTTCCGAAGACATGAAACAGGATCACACGGAGACCATGGGAACCAGAAAGACAGAGAAGAAGGATAAGGGTAGGAAGAAAAGCAGACAGAGCAAGAAAGAGAAGAAAGACAAAAAACGCAAATCGTCCAATTCTGAGTCAAGTGAGGAGGCCTGCATGGGAGGGTTATGATTTCAATATATGGGAATGTGTGAAAATAGGGGGATGTAGAAACTTTACCTTGTAATTGAAAAAAAATGGGATCCCCTATTTAAGACATTCCACTATGCTGTTCTCCTACATGTTGCCGCATTGTTTTCCTGAGGTTATTGTTGGAACCCGGTTGAGTGATGTACTTTTTCATGTTCCAGCCATGACCTCTGGTTGTGATTTGTACCTTAGCAATGCATCATTCAAATCATGCTGCTCACTTCCATAGAGTGCACTAGGTTTAGGACATCCTTGTTTGTGCCTCCCTGTAGTCGAAGACCAAGTCCAAGTCTGAAGTTTCCGAAGATAGCGATGATGATTCTATGTTTCAGGGTCGTTTCAAGAAGCCCAAGCCAGACAAGAAAAGGAAAGGAAGTAGGAGGGATGATGAGGGTGGCAGCCCAACGCGCAGCACAGCAGCTCCTTCTACCCACCCCGGGGGTGATGAGATTGCGTCTTTCTTTGAGAGTGAGTTGAGCCGGCACTTAAGCAACAAGTGTGACCGTGCCCTTTTCCTGAAAATTGTCACAGCGGAGGGATTTGTTTCTAGATTGCAACAGCTAAATTTGTTTTAATGATCAGTCTCCATAAAGAGGGATGGGAACCCTACGGAGATTTGCTTCCCCCTTTCATGAATTGGTTTCTTTCCTGCTGTTGGTATGGCTTCTCCTCTCCCACCAAAGTTCTGGCATGTTGGCCCAGGATTCAGTCTTGACGTTTCTGGATGGTGTGCAGGAAGGCTGGGTACCCGAGGATGACTTCTGTTCAGCAGAATCAAAGGAAATTTTGTCCTGCATGAGCTGGGTTGGACGTCGAGCTGCCAAATCCTTCGTTGGCGTGGTTGAGGGAAAGCTGGACAGGGGTTTACAAATTGCTCGATGATTTGGTAATAATATACTGTTAAGCTGTTGAAATCAGGAAATTTCCTATGGGCATCGAAAGGCATCCATGGTGAAATTCAATCAGATTCAGCTTCTTTCTTTTCAGGTCCAACAGCATGGCATCATTTTGAAAGGAATATAGCCATGGGGAATAAAGCAATGATCAACGCGCACCTCATACGTTTAGGTATGTCCAATTTGGTTCCTTTTCGTTCCTGTCTCAGGACAGCTACCGTGCACTTGCTGGTTTTGTTCCCCCGAAGCCTGATGATGCCAAGCCTTTGGAAGACGAGGAAGAGAGAGAACCTTGTGACATGGCAGAGGAGAAGAAGAAGCGTGAGGATTCAGACGATGAATCTTCGGATCGCGGTGATGGTGTCCCGGGAAAGGTCACCGTGACGTTGCCACCTGACTGGGCGGGGGGCGACTGAAACCATACCATAGAGCACCAAGTTCTTTTGTCAAAATAGCTTGTGCATTTTGCACTGACTTTGGCCAAATCTGTCGGAGTGTTTTTCAACACACGACCAGTCTTGCTTCGAATGGCACTGGGGGGTCTTCAAAAAGGAGTTCCACTGGCAGGGTTTTCAAGCTGTCTTGTGAGGGGTGTTTTTCTGATCCGTCATGGGATACGTGCCGAAAAATATTAGGCTCCTTTAAAGTTTTATCACCAAATTTACTATCCCGATCAAAAAATATTCCTCGCGAGAGAAGGAAGGCAGGCAGGCAGCAAGGAAGGAATGCGGCAGGGAGGAAGGAAGGAATGAAACTGAAAGCGGTATATTTCAGGACACTTGTTGAAAGTGGCTCTCCAACTGTATCAGCGTGATCTGCCTTACCTTCTTTTTGATCACAACAGGCATGTTGTGTATCATATTTACCTTGAACGCCATGGAATTATATATATATTTTTTTTTAAACAAACCCTGAGCATATTCAACCTATAGCAGCACCATGGAGCACAGGTATTGTCATTCTGCTTTGGGGGAGGCGCACATGTGTATCCAAGCTTGCACACTTATATATATAGCTCTACACATGGTTTTTGGGTATACCATTAAAGAAATCCAATTCATATGCTGACATACACATAACCCTGACCTCCCCCCAACCCTCCCACCATTCTACCCAATCCCGGCACCCTCGGCCCGACACCGTACGCTAATCCCCCCACCCCACCTAAACCTAAAGGCTTCAACTGCTTTTTGTACACCCTGAGTACCATATTCAACCTACAGCAGTACTTGGGAATACAAATATGTGCGTTTTGTTTTCGGGGGGGGTGCCTGCGGCCTTGTTTCTGTTTTGGACTAACCCTTCCAGATCAGCACGAATATTGAGCACAGTTTAAATACGCTGCCAAGGCTCAAGAGAGATGTCGAGGTATAGCTTGTAGGCTGGGCTCTGCACTGACTGGCTTATTGGCCGATAGAGGAGAAACAGGGCTTGAGGCCTGGGAAGCCGTTTTTGCCCTACCTTTACTTGAAGGACGCTACTGCCTACTGCCCCTCTTCACTCCTCCCCCCTATATCCCCCTTCCTACACCTCTTACAGCGCTGTGCTTACCTGTTCAGGGTTGTGTGGCCACCGTGGTCGATGAGGGTTTCTACCACTTAGGATATTTTTTGTTTCCGGTTAAAAATTCACTGCTCATTCTGATTTGGTATAGTATGAATATTTTTTGAACCCGAATCCGGTTTTTCTGGAGGGTCGGGCAAGCATCCATCGTTCTCGCGTGCCGCTTGCGTTCTCAGTAGGTCACCTTTTCTCATGAGTGGACCGTTCTTTCGGTGGACGAGCGCCTTTTTTTTTTCCCGGGCGTTTTTGATCAAAAAAAAAGGCTGAGAAGGATCCCGGTGGGAATGGGTGTGTTTGCGTTTTAGAGGGGGAAAAAACAAATTCTCCATTCTCAGCTGGCAATCGGTTTCATATACTAGCATCGTTCTCAAGGGAAAAAAAAGAACGGTTTTTCCCAATATTTTTTTTATCGAGAATGATGCTAGTGTGGCGTTGACGGATCGTGTGCGTTGGTGTGTGGTGCTCACCGGGCAGGTACGCGGCAGCAGTAAGCGTTCTCACGCAGGTCATCGTTCTCACGAACACTGCATCCATTAATCCTGAATTCTATTATTCCTGACCCTAGCAAAATATTCTCAACATGAATCCCCGAACCACCGTTTAGTCATCATAAGCTCCAAAGGTTGGTATACATTTCCCTTGAAGTTGATGTAGTCGTATAGTTATGTAGTTTACACTTCTTAGTCTTGATCGGCCATGGCCTCTTCATCAAAGAGACCCCTGCTTCCTATCATGGAATCTCCACCGGCGAAGAGATCACGCAGCAGCTGCAGTGCAGCACAGGGTAGCCATTCGGCTTCCGTGTTCATTGACCTTGTCCCCGAGAATGTTGAAGGGAACCTTGAGAACCCTGCTGTTCATACCTCCGAGTCCAATGACACTGAGCTGCCTCCGTACTTGTCCATTTGGGATATTCCCAATCACTTCTTCACTGATGCCCAGCACTCACCAGAGTGTGATTGTCCCATTTGTGCGCTGTGGCGATGGCAAAGGAAAACTTTGCAGAAAGAAACTTCGATGTGATTGGATGTTTAATATAATTTACGGACAGCTCAACCAAAGGGCCGTCCAATTCAATTCGTGAGTCTGCATACCTCTTGCTTAATTTAATTCAACCACATGTGCACTAGATCACTAAACATGTCGGTCTCGATCCCTACAGAGAAAAACAATGACGGCCTCTACTGTATGCAACCGACTGTGGCTTAGACACCCAATTTTGTTCTTGGAAGGATGGGTCGCCCACTTGTTTTGGACTTGAGGAACTAGTGTATACACGGTCATGGGTGGTGTGTGTTTCGCTTATGCTGTTCAAGTTGTGAGAACCGCAACCAATGTAAGTACATCCAATGGCTCATCTAAGGTTTGCATTCCTGAGCAAATACCTCTTGTTTGACAAAATCAAGTATGTCTCTTCTGTGAATCAAACTGTGTCACCTAATACGTTTTGGTTTGTTTCGATTCTTAGTGTTTTGTCTTGCTCCCACTCATGGCGTCTCTGCGTGACCCGCCTGATGGGGACGCCCAAGAGTTGCAGGACAGAACATAAGAGTGCGAGCGTCCAAGGTACTGTTCATAAACTCACAAGCTACTTCTGATTGAAAACCCGCGCAGGGATGTATCTTCCCTGTGAGGAACAACGGATGCACCAAGTAGAAAGTCTTCTTTCTGAAGTCCCACTTGTGCTAGATGAAGATGATGACCGCGAAAGGGATCGCGATCAGAAGCTACTGGAAATCCGTGGAAAACTAGCCTCCTGGTTCTTAGAGATTCGCCATGACAACAACATGAGGGAGGTTCTGTTTACTTTCCTTTCGAAACTCAAGGAGATGCATGGACAAGACATGGTATTTGCTCCTCTTCCTGAATGTGAGACCCAGCCAGAACCGAAGGCAGACGCATTGGTTCGCAAAGCCTCCAGTGTCAGTAGTTTGTCCACCGAAAGCTCATCGGGGTCAAGTGTTGTTTCCCACAAGTTGTTCTACCTCTGCCATGAAGGAACTGTTTGGACCGTGATCCAGGCTGGCTGCGTATTGAAAGACATCTGTTCTTTTCCTGTGATTAGTCAGATGATCCCACTCAAACGTACACAGGTGGTGGCTGTCAATACCCAAACGTATGAACCAACCAGTCGCTTCGTCTTCAAACATTCCCTGTCAGGTGGAACAGCCCTACGCTGGGTACAGGTGCTACCTGAGTACGAACGAATGGTACACTCTGAAAACACCATTTTCTCAGTGGTACTCGAAAAACTGGGGGTCAACGGCACAAGAAGTTGCTGATGAGCTAGACGTTGGTGAGAGACACGTTTCTTGATGAGAATTCATGGTGGTACATTTGTCACCCATTGGATGTTCAATTTACTGTTTCAGTTCCATACAAGGGTCCCCATGAATATGATTTGTTTATTATAAGGGCTGATTAGTTGATGAGAACTTACTCCCGTCTCTCAGGTACTTCGAAAATCCAGCTACAAAGGCAATGTCTCCTCAGGCTGTGCTACACTGCCTCTCGATGCCACAACGTCTCTGGGTCTTTGCCAAGTTCTGGCATCTGTGTTGCAATGCTGTGCCCTTCAAGCTTGTACGTTTCAACAGTGTTATGACATCATGGCTTTCCTCGACCGCTTTTCCAAAATCAACACGAAGGTCCGTCCACTGGGTAAACATGAAGACTTCGCCTTGGAGATTGTGAATGGGGAAGTGCGGACTTGCGAGTTCAAATGTGTCATGAAGCGTGTAGGGTGTACATGGTCCAGGCCAGGTTTCTATCACACGCCCACCGGTTGTTGCCATTACAAAAGTGTAGGGTTGAACCCCTAAACAAGAAAATATTACATTACTTCTTTGTTCTGAATGAGGGTTTGTGTCCCCAAAACTTTGTGAATACTAAAAGCATTTACAGAATCATTCTGGTATAAACTATCCCATTCCGTAGCTTCGTTTAACTGGTTTCATCCGTTGTTCTTCCAGGGATGAGTAGAGCAGTAAATGCCTTGACTTTGAAAACGAACTCACGTTGAAAGTGTTAGTACTGCACAAACTGTCCTTTAATCCTGTACTTTGACTTGAACCCCACAGGTTTCAGAAAAAGCTTCCCAAAGCGTACGGTGAAGATATTCCAGTCTTTGCTCGTCTCATGGGCCTCTTTCGCATGAGGGCAGAACAGCAATGGTGGAGCTCGAACGCGTCTGTGAAACGCCTGACAAAGAAGCTGTTGCACTGCTGGGCCCAGCATGTTGAAGTGGGAGTAGAGGAGAGCATGAGGTTGAAGTGTCCAGATCCGACACTGGAAACCCGAAACCACCCGTTTACGGTTGCTTCTCGGAGGAAGGGTTCGAAAGCTCTGCAGTTGGCCTTGATTCAGCGATTCACCTGCAAAGGGGGGGGATTTGTCAGCACAAAAAACGAGCTTACTTTGAGTGCACTCGGAGTAGTCCAGAAGGGCTCTACGTTAGGGTCACGGACAAGCTCGGAATATGTTGCACGGGCACTCGTGGCCACCTGTGGCTTCTGCACGGAGTACATTGCCTCTGCCAGGCTCAAGGTCATCAACTTTGCCATGGATGCTGCCAGCATTGGTGGCGAGCATGCTCCCCGAAAATGTTTCAAATTTCTGACTGGGTTTCGGGGCAAGACCTGCAGGATATACAATCCTTACTGTAAATATACAAAAATACGAATAAATAGGTACATAAGAAATATAATAATCGATAAAATAACCGGGAAATATGATGAAATATGTATGTATTTATAGAAATATTTCCTACTGCGGGTCTCTAGATTTTAACAAAGGTGCTACTCCTCTTCTTCTTCTTCTTCCTCCTCTTCCTCTCTTCTTCTTGTCTTCCTCCTTGGTTGCCTTCTCCTCGCTCGCTACACTTGCTGCCATATGGCCAGCTCCGGATGTGGAATTAGTCTGGGCCCGAACACTACATCAGGAGCTCAAGGTGCTGTGGAGCCTGCTTGGACCCGAAACCATATTGCGAGCTTACTGTGCTGTGTAGTAGGCCCTTAGTAGGCTGAAGCACGACCGCCATGGCGCGATCTCAGGAGGCTGTGACTACCAGACAGCAAGCCCGGACCCAATCGACATATCGGGAGCGCCAGAGAGAATACTAGACAGGATGCCAGTACAAATATGTCAGAGGGAATGCCAGAAAGATTGCAAGATATATGCTAGATAGAATGCCAGAAAAAATGCGAAAATGTTATACAACAAATATCACATTAAATGCCAGAATAGATGCCAGAAAAATCGTCAGAATAGAAGCCAGATAGAATTCCGAAAAGAATGTCAGAACCCATGATATAAAGTATGTCAGAATAGATGCCATAAATGCTTTGAATGATATGTCTGAAACTATGTCAGGATCGTGTGTCAGGGGTGGGGATTACTGGAAGAAAGTTTTTTTCCTCTTTTGATGGTACTTGTTCATGCTCACAGGAGGCTCCCGGTCATGAATGAAACCCGAGGTTCTTTCGATCATTCTTCGCCTCAATGGCCATCATTTTGCGGCCCCGACACAATTACTTCCAGCAGGGGGAGATCCTGACGAGACAGAGGAAGCCTTGAAAAGCTTCACTGAGGCTTTGAAAGTGGCCGGTGGGGCAGCAAAGGGAGAACGTGTTGAGGTACCAAAGGGCAGCTTCAATTGGAAACAATACCGTCAGGCAACCAAAGCAGTGCTGGCGGGTGTTGCCAACAGCCTGAGAAATTGCTTTCCTGCAGGGTGGAGCATGAAGAAATGTGTTCCCCCCAACTTGCTGACACCTGCTTCAACTGGTTGTGACCGAGTTTCCCTGGCTGATTTGGAGAAAGCTACGTTTGATCGACCCAAGACCATGCACTTTTTCTTCAATTACGATTTCCGAAGTTTTCAGGCAACGCCCCAGTTTTACCAGCATGAAGACTTTCACAGGCTGATTTTCAGCGCTGACGAAGGGACGGAGGTGGGGGGAAACAAAAACAAGGAACAATGTCGTTGTTATATGGGATACATCTCAAAAAAATAGTGTCAGGATCAAAAAAGATTATTAGATCCCCAAAAAAAGAATTATCGGGATCAAAAAACATACTCCTGGAGCGGGAAGGAACGAAGAAAGGAAAAAGGAAGGAAGGAAGAAAGGAAGGCAGGCAGAGAGGAAGGAAGGCAGGACGGAAGGAAGGACGGAAGGAAGGAATGAAACTTGTTGAAAGTGGCTATCCAGCTATATCAATGTGATTTAATTTACATTCTATATGCTCACATTAGAAATGTTGTGTATTATATATACCTTGAGTACCATATAATATTATTTATGTATGTAGAAACCCTGAGTGCACTATTCAACCTACAGCAGCACGGGACCACAGGTATTGTCACGCTGCTTTGGGTGAGGCGCGCATGTGTATCCAAGCTTGCACACTTGTAAACATAGGACTCCACACATGCTTTTTGTTGGTGTATACACCATTCAAGAAATCAAATTCATCTGCTGACATACACACACCCCCCCAGCCCCCGACCATTCTACCCAATCTCCCCAACCCCCGACACCTTACCCTAATCTTCCCACCTCACCCAACCCCACCTAACCTAAAGGCCTGAACTGCTTCACGTGGCACCAAACATGTTTTGAAATATGCACCCTGAGTGCCATATTCAACCTACAGCAGTACTTGGGAATACAAATATGTTCCTTTTGTTTTCAGGGGGGGCCTGCGGCCTTGCTTTTTTTTTGGACTGAACTCTTCCAGATCATAGCACGAATAGTAAGCACAGTGTAAATACGCTGTCAAGGCTCAAGAGAGATATCGAGGTTTTGCTTGTAGGCTGGGCTCTGCACTGGCTGGCTTATTGGCCGATAGAGGAGAAACGCGGCTAGCGGCCTGGGAAGCCGCTCTTGCTCTACCTTTACTTGAAGGACGCTACTGCCCCTCTGCAATCCTCCCCCCTATCCCCCTTCCTACACGTGTTACAGCGCTGTGCTTACCTCTTCAGGATTGTGTGGCCATGATGGTTGATGTGGGTACTTATCCCTTGGCAAAATTGTTTTTTGATCCCGATAATATTTTTTTTATCCCTTTGGACAGTTTTTTAACTAATAATACATCCTCCTTGAACCTGAACCCTTGTTATATTACAAAATGGATTTTGCTTTACGATACTTGAACTGGTTACCATTTCTTCTTGTTCGAGAAATCTCAGCACTGCCCTGTGTTCAGGGCTTCCTGGGGTTTCTTCATTTGGCGAATTCCGGCGTCTACACGCTCATGTGGCCTGATATCTTTCACCGAATCAACCGACGAGTTGCCCAAGCTTTGAACCACCCTTCCTGCGAAGAGGTCAAGCACTTGCTGAAACAGGCAATGAAGCTTTTTCGATTCTCACGGGCACCTTTTGCTACAGGACGATTCGGACAGATGATCTCTGAGGCTCGCAGGGACCTCCTGCAGGCGGTGGTTGCGGGGAAGGTGGATGACCTGGTGGACATGTGGTTGTCTGGGGTTGCCCGCGATCGAGGGGTTGCTGATGATAGCTTTGGGAAGCATGATTTAATTCAGCTTCTTCAGTCCTGCGCACGTGCTTTGACAAAATCTATGGCAATTAGTTTTCCTTCAACCTTTTCACCTCACGCTCATGCAACCTCGCTGGTTTCTATCCCTTGTTATCTTGTTTTCCCGGAAAGGCACTGACTGGGTAGCCTTCTTGGGCTCTGGAGTTGGGACTGACTTGTTTTTTTCGTTTTTTTCCTCGCATTAATATGGTCTGGACAGCTTGTATGCCTCACTGAAATATTTAAGCTTCTTTTCAATATCGCTCGAATTCCAGAATGTTTATCCCAGCCAGTCACTCTGAGGCAGTCGCCATGTGTTCTCCAGTGAAGCCTCTCAGTCACGGTGGATGTCTTTCCACGACCACGCAAGTCGATGGGATCGCCGGTGGCACCTGGAATTGATGGTGCATTCGTTTTCTTGGTGGCAACAAGCCAAGTCACCTTGGGATCACATTGACCTGAAGGATGGAGAGTCCCAGCAGGATTCAACATTTTCCCATCGGGTGAATGCTTGGTGCGTACCTTCTTTGAGCCTAGCAACCTGTATTTTTTTGAGTTTGGTTTGTGATAGGTACTGACATCTGCTCCCAAGGGTGGAATTGTTTGTGAGTAGCTTCTATTCCCAGGTCCTGGCTGATGATTCCAACCAAGACAAACTGCGAAGCGTCATTGCTGTCTTCAGACCTCTTCGTGCGTACTTAGGAGTCCTTGACACTGATCTGAATTCTGGTTTTTTATTCTTAATGTGTTTTCCCTGTGTGATTGGTTTTGACTTGGGAAACCAGTGTCCATAAGGTCGTTTGAATTCACTTTAAATTTGCTCCTTGTCTGAACCGCAGGATTCTGATATGCAGCGCAAACCTACCGCCTCGGTGCACCATGCCTTGTACCTAGCCAGTGGAAGGGCTCACCACAAGCTCTTGTCGCATCTTGACAGCAAAATGCTTGTATACTTGTAAATTCCTGAAAACCTCAGACTAATTCTTGACAACCATCGCAAACTATCGAGTGGATAAGAATTCACGTTTTTAGTCGGATCCGGGGACAGAATAGATTTGAGGTCGACCTTGTCAGACAGCACCTCCCAGAAGACCCTTGGCTATGTGGGTGCGCTGGAGGAGGATGAAGAGGGGGCAGAGAAACTGGGAGTTCATGCGTCTCTTCTCTTGTCAGTTCTTGGAGCGCTCTGTGACCTTGATGTTACTCACGTCTCACTTCCTTGGAAGGTTGCATGTGGGTTTGACCAGAGTCTGATGCCTGGCCTGCTGGAGTATATGGAAGCCGAATGGTGCTTTGTGATTTCGGTGGTGGACCACCAGGACCCGAAGGATCAGCTATGGAAACTGCTGAGCCACACACGCTGGCAGGTGTACCGGGATGTAATGACAAAAGCTGAGCAACTTTCAGGCAAGAATTCACCTTTCATTTTTGACCCTTGAAACACACATATGTACTTTGATTTGTTTGTGGTCCAAGAAACAAACATCTTGTTTTTGGGTACCTTCCACGTTCTGTAAGGCACTTCAACTTTCGCTTTCCTGTTTTGGCAGCTGGAGATCCCGATGCCAAACCCTTTATGGATACCATTCGGGCTGTCATGGGCATCACCTCGGACACTGAAGATGAGACTGCCGGTGCTACTGATTCCTTGCTGTCATCATTGCATTCAGAACTCGCCTTCAACGACATGAGAGATGCCTGTCGCAGGCATAGCAAGAAAGAACGGCAACAAAGTTCTTCTTTCCACTGTGTGGCAATGAAGTCTGCATCCACTAGGTCGAGTGGATGCAAGCAGGTTGATGTCCAAGATTCCGATTGGGCAACCCCTATTCCAAGAAAGGAAATTCAAACTTCAGTCCTTTCAGCTCTGCGTTTGTCAGATCGAGCACTAGGCATACCAACTACTGGACTCACGAAGTGCAAGGCTCCTTCGTTGACCAAGCCTCATATTCTTTGTCAAAGACTTGGTTTACTCAAGTGTTTGCAGAAGGTTTTCGAGCAAAGCAAAGGGACTGTCGAAGAACGAAGGGATGCCACCGTGAATGCATACCACGACTTGTGGCTGAGCAAGGTGGTGGGAGAACATGCCTTCATCAGGGAGATCAGCTCAAATGGGGGCAACACCAATCATCCGGAGTTGGTTCTTCGTGCAGGACCTTTCACAGTCTTGACCATTGGTGTGACCCCTGCTTCTTCCGATGCGCCTGAGACCTACAACCTTTGCTTGCCCACGCAGGAGAAAATCGTGAAATCTTTGGAGGACTTTGAGATGGCCCCAGCAGAACCCGTGGTTGCGCCTGGGACTGGGACTTTGGCTTTCCGAGCTAAAGGAGATTACCTGCCCTTGGCCAATTTTGTTGCAGAACATTTGATTTTGCAAATTGGTGCAGGGGTGTTGCGCAGTCTTTGCGCTCGCATGAAGATGAAGAAAGCAGGGAACCTCACCCACAAACTCAGGGTAGAGCTCTTTTTGAAGACGCTGGGGTATGACGATCAGTACGTCCAGTCGGTTCTTGACCAAATTCGTGACAGACCACCTCGCAAGAGAAAAGCTGCAGGCAACAAAGAAGGTGACGATGAGGAACCTAGCAACATATATAGCTTCAAACCATCACATTCATGTATAACATAGTTGAGTTTTTTCCTAAGACTCCGAGATGTTGTTGTTAAATATAATTACAATCTTAAAGATCTAAGATCTCCCAGCAGCATTGCTGACCCTGACAGGACGACGAGAACCTTCAGGACTTTGATCACCTGGAGGGAGAAACGGACGAGGAGGCCATCGACGACACGGTGAAGTTCATGAACGGGGAGGACGACAAGGATGAAGGTGAGATCGACCCACCTGCCCCACCCGAGCACAAGGACCAGGACCTGGCAGTAGTTGTGGGGGACAAAGACGAAGCTGCCCCCCAGGAGGTTGCTGAAAGAGAAGAACCTAAAGTACTTTGTCTGATGGGGGGGATGACGCATTTGCACTGTTGAGTTCAAACAAATTAGATAGGACATATAGGAACCCAGTATTCTACAGGCATACAGCCACAATCCTTATGCATTCTTAGCTGCCCTTGACCCTGTCCGCACGAAAATGCAATGAGGAACGTGACGAACGTGGGGATTTGCTTGGTGCTCATGCTTGTCACACACCACGTGGCCGTCCAAGTGGCTCATGGCCACCAGGCACGAAACCATACTTTGGGAATCCCGTGAATGGCTCAGCCTTTGTCCAGTGCTACTTGCCTGAGAATTTCGTCTACCAAGGGAGAAAATCAAAGGCTCTCTGTTTCCATCAGGAAGGAGAACCTTCGACACGTCGAGGCACACGTCGAACCAAGGATGCTGCTGTTCTTGGGGTACAGACTTGGGCTTGGAATTGGTTTAATTCCCTTACTGATGTTCAACGAGGGGCCCTGCAAGAGACAGAGGCTGCGGAGGGGAGACCATCCAAGAGAGCCCGTGTAAGCTGAGCCTTTGGGATACATGTTTGATAAGGTGGTTCAGTGAAAACATTCAACCCGTGTTTTGGGGTGAAGCATGCATGCCTACCGCAGCATGCGAAAGTCAGTGGAGCCTGAATAGGCTCAGGGAATCTGTCGGGGACCAATCGCTAGAAAAATAAGCAAACTGTGCCAGCAGCTTTGTTTTCGCGAGGTTGGCATCTTGCACATTGCCCCTGTCAAGGATGATTAACTTGAGAATTTGGAGATTCTATTTTTGTATCCAAAAATCCCTAAAGTTGAAACAACTCATCGGAATGGGCAGGGTTGCGTTAGAATATTGGACAAGTGCTCAGGGCAAGGTATATCATTTTATGCATTTCATTGATGAGGCAACCTTGTTTCATGTTGGGGTTCATAGTGGGCGGAGTTTTGAGGAACAAGTGCATGCCCTTGAAACCGCATGGACACAGTGGGCAGGACCATGCAAATTGATATACCTCGATCCTGCAGGGGAATATGCGACAGAAGCCTGGGCGACTTACCTTCAATCCGAAGGTATTAAAGTTTCCATGACAGCAGCTGAGGCACACTGGCAAAATGGTAGGTGTGAGGTACATGGAAAGATTGTCAAGGACATGTTGACTCGTATGGAGGGTGACTCACCGGTGTTGACAGAGGTTGATTTTAGGAAGAACCTACGCCAAGCTTTTGCTGCCAAAAATTCTCTCAGCCGCATTCATGGATACACCCCAGAACAATGTCTTTTGGGAAAATCACGAGCATTGCCAGCTTCCCTTGTCAGCGACGATGATGCCAGCAGTCATGTGCTGGCCGAAAGCAACTCACCTGAAGGCCAATGGTTTAGGGACAGTTTGCAGCGACGCGAAGCAGCTAGGAAGGCATTTGTTCGGGCTGACAACGATTCGGCCTTCAGAAGAGCGTTGCTCCGGCGTAGCCGACCAGGTGTGCTGACTTTTGAGCCAAAAGACTGGGTTCTGTATTGGCGAAGATCAAAGGGGAACAATCGTTTGGAACATGGGCGTTGGCATGGGCCAGCCCAAGTTATTGTGGTTGAAGGAAAAAAGGTAGTTTGGCTCAGTCACCTTGGTAGGATAATTCGGGCAAGCCCGGAACAACTACGTCCGGCTTCGTTGAGAGAGTACCACAAATTACCCAAAGATTCAATGGGGAATGCTATGGATGAGACACCAAGGGGCAGGGGTTACCTTGAACTTGAGGATATCCCAGAGGATAATCAATTGGGAGAGGCAGCCCCCTCTGAAGCTTACTCACCATCTTTGGGACAAAGTGGACCACAAACTCCTCACAGCACCTCTCAACCGGACAATGAAGAATTCCCCCCAGACTCAGGTCATGGAACGTCAGCACCATCTCTAGGAAATGAAGAGAGTGAACAGGGGGATGATGGGGATGACGGAAAGTTGGAACCACATGAGATTCCTGTACCTGATAGTGATGATGGTGACTCTTTTCTATGTTTTGGGGATGATGTTGAATTTCCACAAAATAATTCCGGAGTTTGGGAAATAAATCTTTGCGAGTATGACCAAAGCTTACAACCAGAAAAAGAAGAGGAACTGGTTCATGTGTTTTTGGCTGAACAAGTTCTTTTGGCATCCACTGCACGAAAACAAAAGGTAGAAGTCCAGTACCGTAGCCTCTCGGTTGAGGATCAAAAGCTGTTTGATGCTGCCAAACAAAAAGAACTGAAAGCGTGGATTGACCACAAAACCGTTCAGCGGGTCGCCAACGGCACTTTGAAACCAGATCAAATTATGAGGTGCCGCTGGATACTCAGTTGGAAGGCACCAGAGGTAGGAAGTGTTGAGCGACGGGCAAAAGCACGGTTGGTAGTGTTGGGTTTTGAGGATCCTGATTTGTCCACTGTTCCACGGGATGCTCCAACACTAACAAAAGATGGTCGTCAACTCATCCTACAGCTGGTGGCATCCAAACGTTGGGATTTGTTGAACTTCGATATTTCCACAGCCTTTTTAAAGGGAAAAGGAGATGGCCGGGCACTTGGTCTACATGCTCCACCCGAGATGAAAAGTGAACTTCAAATGAAAGAAGGCGACCAATGCCTTCTAAAAGGGGGGGCGTATGGCCGTATCGATGCTCCATACCTCTGGTACTGTGAACTCAGAAAGGCACTGGAGGAGTTGGGTTTTGTTGCTTGTCCTTTTGACGGTTGTGTGTTTAGTTTGGTTACCCAAAAGAAAAATGGAAAACCAGAGGTTAGGGGCATGTTAGGAGTGCATGTCGATGATGGCATAGGAGGGGGAGACTCCTACTTCAAGGCCACTCTTCAGAAACTCAGGGATCGTTTCAGTTTTGGGGCATATAATGAACATGAGTTCGACTTTTGTGGGGTTCATTACAAACAATGGGATGATGGTACAATTGAGATGGATCAAAAGGGGTATCTCAAAGGAGTGGAACCAATTAATGTCCCGAAAACTAGAAGACAAGAACCTGAGTCAGAACTGAATGAAACCGAAAGATATCACCTTCGAGCTCTGTGCGGGAGCATACAATATGCTGCTGTACACACCAGACCTGATCTGGCGGCAAAGGTAGGACAGTTACAGTCATGCATTCCCAGGGCAAAGGTCAAAGATCTCCTAGAAGCCAATCGAGTGCTTTATGAAGGAAAGCGCCATCATGTGTGTATCATGGTGGTTCCCATACGAATAGAAGATTTGACCTTCTGTGCCTTTTCAGATGCCTCATTTGCAACTGCATCAAATCTGCAGTCCCGACAAGGGACACTGATATTTACAACAGACAAGAATCTTGCAGAGAATAAACGTGCCGTTGTCTGTCCAGTGGCTTGGAGCAGTCGTAAAATACCAAGGGTTGTGACTTCAACTCTTAGCGCAGAAGCTGTTGCTTTAAGTTCAACACTGGACCGTCTAGGCTTTTTGAGGCTGTTCTGGGAATGGGTCAAAGACCCAAGCGTGGACTGGACATGTCCGGACAAAATTCTGAAAGAGGCACCTCGGTGCAATGCAGTGACAGACTGCAAGTCTGTTTACGATATCGCATCGAAGCAGGCTCCACCACAGTGCTCAGAACATAGGACGTTGCTGGAATGCCTTTTAATTCGAGAGCGATTGCAAGAAAACATCTCATTACGGTGGATAGCAACACAGGCAATGCTAGCCGATTCACTGACTAAGAGCATGGATGCCAGTTTGTTGCGTGAATGTCTCCGTACAGGTAAGTATAGCCTTTTTGACGAAACAGAAGTGCTGAAACAAAGGGCTAACCGCCGTGAGAAGTTAAAGTGGCTGCATGGAGAACAGGATGGACAGAATGAATCATAAAGGGAACACTGTCTTCTGAAAATTTCAATTTTTGGATTTTTGACGAGTGTTGTTTTGCCAACTTGAGCCATGATTCACTGTCCATCATGTCCATTCCATTTCGCCGGCCTCATTGGACACCTTCCAGTGGTGGGAGGGTTGAGGATATTGAGCCATCAGCAAGGACAAAGGCAGCTGGGTTTAGGGCAGGACAGGGTTCCCCCAAATCTATTGGAGTAGATTCAGAATATATATATATGTATATATGATATCATGATATCACATATATATATATAAACCATCCACAAAGTGGTAAAATCGATAGTGTCCAATTGAGTATGGTTGTGTCATAGCGTCAGTTCTTCCAAGAACGTGGGGGGGTCTTGGGACCCCTATGGATGGCTATTGAAACATGTGGAAGACAAGGATATTTGTTCAATCCCATGCCCCATGGTGAATATGTGCCATGGTCAAGTTATGTATCAAAATATGGAGCTGGTTGGTGGTTTGGAACATGAATTTTTGACTTTCCATATATTGGCAATCATCATCCCAACTGATTCATTTTTTTTTCGGAGGGGTAGGTATAGCACCAACCAGCTGTGGTCATCCATCCCACAATGGGAATCCTCATGGTCATATCCTATGGATTGATGGCCATCCTGCAATATGGACCGTTGGTTGGTCCCAACCGGTGATGCGACAACCAAGGGGTTGGAAGTTGGTTGGAGTTTCATCCCATCAACCAACTGGATGGTATATTTTAGAATCCCAAAATGGTCCAAGATTTTAGGTGTGTGAATTATATAGTATAATTTGCCCAGATCGTTTAATTCTTTAGTTTGTGTTGTTATTAATGAAAATGTTGCCATAACTTTAAAAAAAAAATGACATTTGTTTGTGGACTGTCAAAGATTTACCATGATGCCTGGTATCTAAGTTATGTTGGCAGCTTAAGCCTGTAGAAGGATGCTGACCTGCTATGGCAACTCGAATCTAGAAACCCAATAGCTGGTTGCCGGTTGCTGAGTGAATCATAGGCTGATATTTACCGACAATATAGTTCAAATCATACTGATTCCAATAGTCACTATACATATACATACATAGATACTATAATTTGTATGTTCAAACCGGGAATTTTCAATGCATATTCAAATAGCGCTTTGTCTGAAAATAGGTTTCCCCATCTTCCGATTAGAATATCATAGTTTCATACGGTTTTCCCCATGGTTGGCGATTTTACTGTGGTAGTATCCTCTATTTTCAGAGATAATTTCTATCGATGATATCTGATTTTGATACCCACAGGTGCATAAATATCCACAGGTGCAGCATGTTTGGCTATGTCCCATTGGAACATCGAACAAGTTCATATATGTTCCCATTTTTCGCTATAATTGTGATATTGTGGGTATCCTCTATTTTCAGACGGCGGCATTTTTTACCATACTTATAGTGGATATATAACCATACTATTTTATGGTGCTATAGACCTAGTTCTAGCCCAGTTATTTCATCTGGTTGGTGGTTTGGAACATTTTTTATCTTTCCATATAATTATTGGGAATAATCATCCCATTTGACTAATATTTTTCAGAGGGGTAGGTTGAAACCACCAACCAGTTTATTATTAACCATCATTAACCATATAATAACCATTCATATTAGCCACCATTAACAGTATATTAACCATGGTATACCACCAACCAGTCATGTTAAACAAGCGTAGTTACTACAACTCACCAACCTCTTCTCCGGTGAGGGCAGCAGCTGGTTGCCAATGGCTGGAGAGGGTGGCCTTTGTAAGGATTGGAACTCCAGAGAGTTCCACACCTCAGAAGGGGTGATTCGGAGGTGATCTCTATGGATCAAACTATACAAAAAACATACAAAAAACGATGGAACGATCCACCATTTTTTAGCTGGGTAAATCAACTATTTCGAGCTGGCCATGTTCAAGTTCGCGAACTGTTAAATTACCGGAGGGTAAGTGTGACAACTATGGTATAAGTTGATCGTATGTATATCTAACTGTGGTTTTCATATGGTTTCACTAATATATATATATATATATAGTATACATACATAAAACGTACTATGATATCTAGCTATGGTTTTCACGGGAAAACCATGGAACATATGTTATAACTAGGTAATAAACCATGGTCATAGTTAATATGATAGATAATAACGGACAAAAATGGTGGTTTTCCCATGAAGTACGGTAATTTCTAGGGCGGATATAACCATACTTATAATGCCATCACCGGATTAATAACCCCCCCAGAAGGTCAGAACTCTACCTTGTAGGTCAGTTTCTTAAACCCTCAGCAACTCTGAAGCATAAAAATTTGGATATGGCTTGAGTCAACTGGCTGAAAGCTATGGGGGACATTGGGAATGAATAGGCAAATCCAAAGAAAAAACATTAGGGACATGGTGGTTGATTAATCAGGGGCAAACCCTGATTATTATTAATGGGGGACATGGGCTCATGGGGGGTACCCTTTGGGAGCTATCCAAACTGATGATTTTTTAAAAGAATTTAATTAGAAATCGATCATTTGGGGAATAGTTGTTTTTTGAAAATTTCAATGATCAACTTAAACCTTAAGTATAACAATGATGATAAACAAAAAGGTTAAAAAAAACAATTGGAAATAAATAGAACTGGAAATAAAAATTGTTGGATAAAGAAATGGATTTCAGCACAGGGGGTTGATTAATCGGGGGTAGGCCAAAGTGTTTCTTAATCCGAGGGGACCACCTGTTTTTAAACTATACATTTTTGGGGGGGGGCAGTGGAGGTTGATTAATCGGGAGGGTTTGATTAATCCTGACTTGACATTAGTGGATATTAATGGATATAACTATGGATTTTAAGCCCCAGAAGTTAGGATATAAGCCCTATAATTAAGTATGGTTATATATATATTTATATATCCACTTCGTTCACTGGAACTACACTTCCAAGTATGCCATGAACCGTGGTTTTCGTGTGGTTTTGGGGTACCATTTGAGTTTTGACTAAGAGTTTGCTGTGAAAAATCATCCATTTTGTTTGGGCCATGGCTTCCATGGTCAAGATCCCACCAAATGGATCCAAATGGGGGGAAGTTATGGGACATGTTGTGGTGCTTTGTTGGGTTTACCACAACACCTATATATTCCAAATCAAAGTGCAGATTTTCCATGATTTTCCATTGCAATCGAAGCATTATTAAATTTCACGAGCTCCTGGGATTTTGTGATTTTTAGGGAATATTGGATATCAAGGTCAAGATGCAATATGTGGTGCAGTGTACGCGCACAAGGGTGGCACCAAAAAACTTAAGCGTCATGGTTTGCACGGGTTTGCACTGGATCAGCCTTCCATAAATGGAATTGGTCCAATTAATCGTTCAGAAAAAATGAAACGGTCGGAAACGGTCGGAAACAGTCGGAAACGGTCGGAAACGGTCGGAAACATGATCAGTCCAAAACTTGTCCAACCCGCATTTTTTTTAAAATAAGCATTTCCGCGCAATGCCGTTTTTTTTTTTGAAGGTCCAAAGGTGTCCAAGGGGAAACGGTTGGAAACAGTCGGAGATCGCACCTTCGCTCGGCAAAAAAATAGTTGTTTTGTAGCATATCTTCATGAAAAATGTTTGAAAATTGTGTAAAAACATGTCTTTTTTGCCAACGAAGGTGCGATCTCCGACTGTTGCCAACCGTTTCCCCTTGGACACCTTTGGACCTTCAAAAAAAAAAAACGGCATTGCGCGGAAATGCTTATTTAAAAAAAAATGCGGGTTGGACAAGTTTTGGCCTGATCATGTTTCCGACCGTTTCCGACCGTTTCATTTTTTCTGAACGATTAATTGGACCAATTCCATTTATGGAAGGCTGATCCAGTGCAAACCCGTGCAAACCATGACGCTTAAGTTTTTTGGTGCCACCCTTGTGCGCGTACACTGCACCACATATTGCATCTTGACCTTGATATCCAATATTCCCTAAAAATCACAAAATCCCAGGAGCTCGTGAAATTTAATACGAAGCATATTTTCATGATTTTCCATTGCTTTCGGAACATAACTATTACAGATGATTACAGGGTATCCGCTGCTGATGTTGAATCCTAGTTGGACATATTTATCCAAAGTGAGTATGTTATGGGACGGGTTGAAGTCACCAACCAATTGTCAGCTATGGACTCGGTGTTCCCTCAGGTACTTCCATGCGTTGTGGATCACAGTGAATCATTATTGATGTAACTCCGTGCAGTATAAGAATGCCATTCCTTTGAATTCCCTGTCCACCTGTGGTTGAGCTCTTTGATCCTCTCCTTAGATTTTAAGGGAAAATGGATAGGACACATCAGGAATCTCCCATGAAACCATTAAACCATATTCTACAATCTCTTAAACCACCATTTTCTGGTTGGTGGTTTGGAACATGAATTTTATGATTTTCCATTCAGTTGGGAATTGACTTTCATCCCAACTGACGAAGTCCATCATTTTTCAGAGGGGTAGGTTCAAACCACCAACCAGTCATCTATGGGGGTGTCCTACAATGGGGATACCCCAATAGCTGGATGGTTTATAAAGGAAAATCATCATAACCATAGTATGTAATCAACCAATAATATTCATGGGGATAGGCTCAACCACCAACCAATAATATTCATGAGAAAACCATGGATTTCCCCCATGATCTGGAGAAGTTCTCCACTTCCAAGGTGCGTGGTCGACGGCTTAGTACCTGGAACCACCTACGAGGTGCGTGTTTCGCTCGCTGGGAGCTCGCTGGTCAGACACCCCGAAATCCAAGTCATTGGGGGTTTTGAAAATGTTTGAAAAATGGTGGTTTACTATGGTTTTACTATTAATTGATATGGTTTACTATGGTTTTACTATGATTTGATATGGTTTTACTATGATTTGATATGGTTTACTATGGTTTTACTATGGTTTACTATGGTTTTACTATGATTTAATATGGTTTTACTATGG